AAAAAAAAAGAAAAAAAGAAAAATAACACAACGTTTTCATCACATTCTACTTTTATACTTATATTTTGAATATGAATTGCAATCCTATTTAACTATATAGTCCAGGTAATACAATATTGCACTTTGTTGTTAATATTGCACAATATTGTTAAGCCACTAATATTTTCAAACATTTTCAGGAAAGATCCTTAAATCTCTTATAGTCTGATAAACTTCTTTAAGTTCCTTTTACTTGGAGAATATTAAGTAAGGTAAGGTTATTGGATATAAGTAACTAACGAAAAGTCTTCAAAAATAATTTCCTAATAATATTCCTCACTTTATTTAGAATTGATTGAATTTGCCATAGTTCACAACCCACATCCCAATCCACCATTTGTTTTCTCCAGCATAAAACTCTTCTTTCAAATGATTTTAAAGTATGACAAAAATGGAGGTTAAATATGTGTTAGAAAGATAGAGATTTTTTTTCAAGATAAAGTATCAAAAAAAAGAAAAGATAAAGTATCAGCAGTTCCACAATTACTGCTACAATTTCTTACTTAGGCTTATCTTTAAAATACCAAATTGATTTCATTTAAACCATTGTATTACTAAATTATGACAAAACTATTCTTTCTCTTTGAAGCACAAACAAAAATTTTCACAAATTACCTCAAAAAGTGAGAATTTTCATTCATTTAGATGAAAATAAATCAATGGGATCCTATTATACATATACAAAGTTGCCATGTTTGTCCCTGTTTTAGTTACCACTCATAAATCAGCTTCATAAATATAAAATTTCATGAGGGTCATGCTTAAGAAAACTGAAAACATACAAAAATATATATATACAATTTAAGAACTGTTAATTTAGTGGTATGGAAACTGGATTGAATTTCTTTATAAAGGAAGGAAGGTAGTTTCTGTAATTCTTAGAAAAACATGTACAGGTATCAAACTCCCCAGAAGAACACTCACAGGTGGGAAGTAAGGCTCTCTAACAAGGAATCCTGCTCTCCTAAACATGCACCTGGAAGAAACTTATCTACAGTCGTATTTCTACAATAAAGTACAACTGAAAGTTAGTAAATCATTTTACCCATGTTCAAGGAAACAATAAATCTTGGTAACAATAACTCTAAGCAGCTTTTACCTTTAAAATTCTGAGAACATAAAACATGTGTAGTCAAAAGGATTAAGTTTTGAATGAAAAACAGTCAAAGGATAGTTAAAACTTAAACATGAAAATGAAGCCTCCAAGTTGGGAATACACTTATGACTAATTTTAAAAATCATGAAGTCTTCATGTCTTCAAACAAAATTGCATCTTAACATGCCTTAAATTCAACATACTAATGTTTTTATTTTTATTCATAAAAGATAACTTACTTTCTCTGTAATAGTAATGCAATCTCTGTTTGAACTTTCATATATTCTTGCGCCATTTTACAATGCTGTTCAAACACTGCCATAGATTCTTTGGAGTTTGGGCACGGTGCTAGAGGCTGAAAATAATCAGGAATGTTAAAACATAATTAGAGCAAATTTTACATCTGGCTGGGAGTTCAGATAGAGCCTGTGATATATTTTTATAGCACTAAAGCAATGATCTTTAAAAATAAGTTTTAAAGTATGCCCTGGAAAACCTCAGTGTCCTTTCATCACAATTAGCTCAGCATTTAAATTTACTCTTGCTGTTTTAATACTTTCATTTTTTACAGAGAACTACAACTAGAAGACTACTTGTAGCCTCTGGTATGACATTTCAGGTTGCCAGACTGTATTATGCCAAAAGGTGTTTATGGCCCCCATATTCACGAGGAGCCACTGAAGGGTATTATTTACATTTTTAGTCACTATGAACATGAGAATATATCACAAAATGTGTTAGAAATAACTTATAGGATACACATAGACATTTTTTTGAGACAGGTGCAATGACATCATTGTAGCTCACTGTAACCCCAACTCCTAGGCTCCCAAGCACCTGGGAAGACAGGCATGAGCCTGGCTAATTTAAAAAAAATTTTTTTTGTAGAGACAGTCTTGAACTCCTGGCCTCAAGTGATTCTCTCAAAGTGGAGTTTTAGCTTTTAATGAACCAAAGTTAAAGAGTAAAAATGCTATGCTCAGTAGTCTTGAAGAAAGACATAAGGGATATTTTAACGTGATAGCCAGGAAAAAAAAATATTATTCTGCCAATTTTAAATTTGATTAACTTCAGATATATACTCAGTAGTGATTAAAGTATATTAAAAATGTAAGAAAAAGAGTAAATTTGACTTTTATAAGTTTAAAGAGGCCACAAAAGTATAAACAAATGAATATGAAATGATGGATTGGAACATAATTGTCAGCTTCAAAGATAAATTCCCTAAAAAAAAAAAAAAAAACTTCTACTGGGAAGAACCCCTTTACCTGCAGCTGGTGATCCAAGGTAAGGTAAGCCATTGGGATGGAGTTATCTGACCCATTGGTATCTGGAATTCAAGAATGTGTTGTATTTATTTTCTATCATAAATAATTATAAACAAAAAGCAAGAATGAATATATGAAATGCTTTTTTTCCCACTAAATTACATGTAAAATAAAAGTTGCTGCTACTGACAACAGTTTATTTTTGAATTCTAAAGAAAAAGAGGACACCCAATTATCAGATAATTAGAATGCAATTATATTCTCCTACCTAAAATTTAAGTTGGCTATAAACTGAATAGAAAACCATATATTAAGGCTTGTGAGCAGAAACAGTGATATGGGACCTTTATATTTTGAGTCTTTTGCTCAGTCCACTGAGCCAGCCCAGAGAGTTTGTGGGACCTTTACATAGTATTTTATATTTAGTCCTAATAGACTCTACTTAATCAAACCTCATACCTCTTTTTTTTCGTTATGGTACTAAGTTTTACACAAAGCTGTGTCAAGCAAGAGATACTTTTTCTCTTCTAGCAGATCATTTTCAATTTATCTAGATTCTAATGGGAGGCCCCTTCCATCTTGCCCTCCAGTGAGGGCATTGTAAAAAAAAAAGATCCCAAATATTGCTTTCCATGAAGTTAAAATTGTTTAAAAATACAGCAGAAAATAAGAAATGTTATTGATAAAAGCATGTTACAAATATGAATAGTATGGTAACGAAAAAGAGGTTTAGAACTGTGACTCAATGTCATTCCAAAAATAGTTAAATTGGTTAATTCTAACAACCAATCAACTCTATCAATCTATGTGAGCAAAAAGTGTTTGTTTATATTTTAAAAGAGACAAAACTGTTATACAAATTGATTGAGTGGCATGAGATGTTCTCTTCCAAACATGAACATTTAACAGAACAGGTCCAGAAATGAGAGTGAAGTCACATAGACCTTGCTATTTCAGAAGTAGCTGCTTTCCCACTGTTCGCAGAGAAAACATGAACTGAACGAGTGAGGTGATCAGTCCTTTCCTGACAAGTGACTTGGAAGAGCGGTGTGTGTAAAGGGAAGGTCAGGATGAACTGAGTAAAAAATGCAGACAGTATGATGGTTCAGCAACGTTAAGCCATTGAGAACGTGCTTGCAAGAACCTTCAAAAGCTAATTAGCTAACTCTGACCAAACAGACAATACACACGGCAGTGGCTGCTACCATGCTCAATCTTATTGCTACTAAGCGGAGGATTAGGAAGAAAGGGCAATGTTAAATAGTTGAATATGCATTTCAGACTGAAAAAGTAATGTTCATTAAATACTGCAGTGCAACGGAGGAAAAACAAACCCGTAGAGCCTTAAAGTGCTTATCCTAGTCATCTACAGTACTAACACAAACTTTTGAAAAGGCTAAACAAGAAATATACTTAATTTGTTATTTCTTCGACCAAGCCTCTCCCTACTCCCAATAGTAGTTTTTAAACTATGCTCCCAAATATTGCTTTCCATAAATTGAGATTGATCAAAAATGACTCAATAGGAAAAATTAAGTGTGTTTTTAAAAAAGTTTCCTCAAGTTAACATTCCATTCCTATTTTTCTTTCTTAAATCACTGATGCCTTACATATCTCACTATATTTGCATTCTGTACCTGTGTTTTAGAATTAAGTATAATGTGTCAATGTTGAACAGGAATTTGAAAGAGAAAAAAAGGTCCAAGGACTGGGCTTGTTGAATAATTAAAGCCCTTCCACAGTGAGGAACTTAAGTTTTTTTTTTTTTTTTTACAGCAAGTAGCCTTTTAGTTTTTATACCTATTATGCCATGAATTCACAGGGAAAAGATTTCAGCAGCTCCGGGAAAGGCCTTTCCATTGACTGTGACAAAGCTTGCTGTGCCTGTTGTGCCATGAATTTATGGGGAATAGGTCCCAGCACCTTATGGCCCAGTTCATTGATTCTCTGGGTTCTCCTGAGTGCTATACACTTATCATGCCATGAATTCATGGAGACTACATTCCAGCACCTTATACTCCTGTGCCATTGGTTCTCTTGGTTCTCCTGGGTGCTATGCTGTACACCTATTATGCCATGAGTTCACAGGGAATGGGTTCCAGGAGCTCAGGCTCCTTTCTGTTGGTTCTACAAAGTGGGCTTCTCTGGGTGGAGCAGGCTGGCTCAGTTGAACACAAGTACCTTTCTCTGTGGCTTCCTTCGTTTTCTGATCATTTTCTTTCACTCATTTCTGGAAGCTATCTTGGCTCTTAGTGTGCTTAATATGTTCAATATGAACATTAATCCTCTTGGCAAGAATCTTGCCCTTGTTTGTTTACAACAATGCCAACAGCATGTTGGGTGACATTGAGAACTCTTCCAGTTTTGCTGTGGAAACGTCTGTGTGGCCTGCCTTTTTGAACAATACCCATTCCCTTGATGTCTACAATATCCCCTTTCTTGTAGATTTGCATCTATGTGGCCAAAGGAATAACTTCATGTTTTCTAAGAGGCTTAGAGAACACGTATTGGGTACCTCTTCTCTCTCCCTTTTTTTGTCATTTTGGTGAATTACCGGAAGATGGTGTCTCCTGGAACTTAAGGTTTTTTTTTTTTTGCAGTTTTTGACCTGGGCCAGGTTTGAATCTGCCACCTCTGGTATAGGGGGTTGGCGCCCTACTCCTTTGAGCCACAGGTGCCACCCTGGAACTTAAGATTTTTTATTGAATTTTATCTTTTCTTTAACAGCAAGAAGTGGGATTTCACTTTCTCATTTATAAATTGAAATTGAGCTTCTAGGCTCTTTTAAAAGCAATAATTACAAGATAGCAAGGTTTTTAAATGAGATTTTTAAAAAATGTTTTAATTGTGAATCTAATCTAACCTCTTCTGAATGTCAAAACTCACAGTGGTTTGGTTAATGAGACAAATTCTCCTTTCTGCCCCCACAACACAATCCTTATTATCCCTCTGTATTCTATGAGGTGCATTCCCTTCAGTGACGCTGTCTTTTCCTTTCTACTTTATGACTACAGAATAAGTCTCAATATTTTCAAAAAAGTCAGGGACTATGCCAGCCTTTATTTAATTGATTTTTCTATTAACTAGTAAAATACCCAGCTTGTAACTGTAAATTTAGTAGTCTAATATATAGCATGATGAGTTTCTTTTCAATAAAGAAAAATCAGCATCACGACTTTAATCGGTTTGCAAAGAATGAGCCATGTCTGTTGTGTCCATCTTTGCAAAGCTCTAAGCCCAGGAAAAGCTAGTGAGTTTGCCCTCTGTGGTTCCCTGCATTGGGTTTGCTCTCTCACTAGATTCTGTCTTTCTTTAGATCCATTATAGGGTAAATAAAAACCGAAGAGCACTCCTAACATGCAGTAATTATTAACTTGTTATGCTTTCTAGTTTTCTCTGAAAATACACATAAATTTCTTTTATTTTAAATTTTAAAAATCTAATTAATTATGCTGTTTTAACTTATGTTTACAGTCAATTTTTTCCTGGGGCAGTGGGCCTTCTAAGGAAAAGCTTTTACCTTTCTGCTCCCTATGATTTATTACATTAGTTGTTTATTAATACTTTTCTTAGAAATACTGAAAAGCTGAAATAATTATAAAGAAACCAGTCTCAACTTTTAAAATATATTTAAAATTCCTTAAAAAATGGTAACAACACATTTACAGTGTATCTCACGGCAAAGACAACATTGAGCTGATGTTGCAACCTATCTGTAGCTACTGGCATTTAATGGTAATTTTAGGTACTGGAAAGGAAAACGATGAGACAGGAGTTGGGAGGTAAGGAATATACACGAAGTAGAAATATAACAGTTCTGTGACAGCTACTTAAGAAATATTGATTTTAATCCCATGAATTCACAATCTGCCATACTCGTGACTGCAAGTATAGATTAGTCTAGCCTCTGCTCTGCACACTGAGGACAGACCCACAATTTTTTTTTGGAGACAGAGTCTCACTCTGACACCCTTGGTAGAGTGCTGTGGGGTCTCAGCTCACAGCAACCTCAAACTCCTGGGCTTACACGATTCTCCTGCCTCAGCCTTCCAAGTAGCTAAGACTACAGGGGCCTAACACACTGCCTGGCTGTTTTTAGAGACAAGGTCTCAAACCTGTGAGCTCAGGCAATCCACCTGCCTCGCCTCCCAGAGCACTGGGATTATAGGTGTAAACCACCACACCTGGCCCAAGATCCCACAAATTTTAACGACCAGCCTGAGCTAGAGTGAGACCTTGCCTCTTAAAAAAAAAAAATAGCCAAACTTTGTGGTGGGCACCTATAGTCCCAGGTTCTCAGGAGGCTGAGGCAAGAGAATTGATTGATCCCCAAAATTTGAGATTTCTGTGAGCTATGACACCATGGTACTCTACCGAGGGTGACAGAGTGAGACTCTGACTAAAAAAAAA